TCAAAAAAAAAAAAAAAAAAAGCGGGAAATGAAACAAGGGAAACCGAGTCGAGTGGGATGTCGTTCACACGTGGAGCGATAGGCGGGGCTATCATTTAACAGCTTGTGATAGGTCTTCACAAGCCTTGAGTTGTCCAATAAAATACGTATTTTGGGTTGGGCCAAACAAATCACGCAATCAGAATGTTCCTTTAAGCTTTGAAGATTAGCATAGAGAAGTGAATAAAAACCCCTGAAAGCGACGAGAAAAGTATTGGTTTGTGAAACTATTCTTATAACGGCATAATTATGCCTGAAGCAGCAAAGTCCGCGCTTAAGAAAGACTCAAAAAAGGCCGTCACTAAGACTGCAGCGAAGAGAGGAAAGAAGCGCAGGAGATCCAGGAAAGAGAGCTACGCTATCTACGTCTACAAATTGCTGAAGCAGGTTCATCCTGACACCGGGATCTTCTCCAAGGCGATGGGCATCATGAACTCTTTCGTCAACGACATCTTCGAGCGCATCGCCGGTGAGTCGTCTCGTCTCGCTCACTACAACAAGCGCTCCACCATCAGCTCGAGAGAGATCCAGACCGCCGTGCGTCTGCTGCTGCCCGGAGAGCTGGCCAAGCACGCCGTGTCTGAGGCACCAAGGCCGTCACCAAATACACCAGCTCCAAGTAGAGCTCCGCTCCAGCTCTCACACACAAAGGCTCTTTCAAAAGCCACCCACTTTCTCGTTTAAAGAGTCTAATGTTGTAAATACTTAATATGCGATCGTGTTAATATACAGTTTAGTTTACATCTAATTTTATTGTGGTGATGCCTTTTTTTTTTTTTTTTTTTTCTCGTCCACCCTGTCACAATTTGCTCTTACACCACTTTTTGCTGCGTGACTTAAGTTAGTCTGCCATCAAATGTAAGCAGCCGTTATCACAATGTTTTAAACCCCGTTTCTTCCTGTAAGATACTTCCTGTGTAGATTAACTTATTCTTTAATTACTTATTTTATTAGTTCGGCTTTTGGAGTTGTGCAATTGTGTCAGGGCCGGAGTGAGACTCATTTTTAGCCGTAGAGTTTCATGTCTTAGACCGGCCCGCTTTAGTTCATGACTGACTATATTAAAATGTGATTAAAACCTCTATATAAGTCTGCAATAGTGCACTGTTCTCCGTAAACCGTTTTAAGTAAATAAGGGACACTCAAAATATTTGCTGTGTACCATAATGTCTGCCTGCAGTTAAAAAGTTCCCAGAAATAATCACAATCTGTTTGGACATTTTGTAAAATGCAATAAAGTTAAGAATCTGTGATTTGTTCATTCTCTTCAACTTTTATTTAATTGACAGAAGTACAAAGAAAAAATGTCCATAGTTTTCATTGACCAACGTAAATGTATTTTGTAAATATGAACACATTTTGATGGCTGCAACACACTCCAAAAAAGTTTGGACAGAGGCGCGTTTAACACTTTGGTACATCAACAGTCATTTTAATTACAATGTTTAGTTGTTTAGGAATTTAGGAAGTTCTGCAAGCAACATTTTTGTCCAGTCTCGCTTGATACAAGACTTCAGCTGCTCAGCAGTCTGTGATTGTAGTTGTCTGATTCTTCCTTTCATGATGAGCCATACATTTTCAATAGGAGACAGATCTGCTGGCCGGTCTGGCACATTCACTCACATTCACCCCCCCCCCCCCCCTCCTCACACATAT